AAAAATCCGGGGTGTCAAAAATCGGCGGAAACTTTTCGGACAACCCAATAAATAGCAATCGCTAGCAATTGGCGGCACAGCCAATCTCTTTTGCAACAGAACTTATCCAACCGCCAATAATCTGGGATTCGTAAGTAATGTTCAGTCGTGAAGAATAGATGTTCCATTTATATCGATATCAGGTAATGGTGTTGCTATAATACTACTCCACAACATTTGTGAGCTCCATTTAAGGCTTTGGTTGCTAACAGTCAAATCTTCGATGGGTGATTATTCGATGGATGCAGAGCAACAAATCCAATTGCTAATTATAGGCTTAGCACAAAAACGAATGTGCGCGTGATCAAACGCTAACCCCCTAGCTACCCCCAATTACCCGTCCCGTGTCATTGACCGAGGTCCCTTTTTGATGCTTCCTTCACGTGAAGGGTGAAGAACCGTGTATTCAGATAGAGTTATGCCTTTGAAAGGAGATGTCGTAGTTGTGAAGTTTTGCGGTCACTGCAATTTAGTTCACAGAAAAGTTATGTGAGTGAGTCTTTAATAGGTATTTAATTTTGAATGGACAGCAACAGGAGACTTCTACTCATATGCACATACAGTAGCGCTCGAAAGTCTTCGGTGAAATGCTTCTTCAGTCGTACTTTTCAGTCGTAGCTCCTCTCCTACTGGATCTAATCATACGAAATTTCTATATGTGTAGCATGGGTGTATTGTGAATGTTTGCTGCTATCAATCTGAAATTTGATCATGTTCCAAAGATCCCAAAGGGCTTGAACTCAAAATCGACGGAAATACAGATAATGGCCCTTCTAGAATCTCTTTTCTTTTTGTCATGTCTGAAGTGCACGAGCAGTATTGCCGAACACAATAGATGAGAAAAACGCACATAAGGTGCGAATAAGTGCAGACGTCAACAACTTTACTTTTAGCAAAATCTGCTACCGCAACAAACACCTTGCTCNCTATCTGTGGATATCGCAGCTTCGCAGTCAAATAGTGTTGGGTTGGGTGAAATATGCTCTAGTTAAACATATCCAAATTTCGCGCGATTTGGTTTACTGAGAATAAAATTATGAACAAAAAAGCGTCAGAGCATTTCACCGAAGACTTTTGAGCGCTACTGTATGTATAAGCATCGGCCCATACTGGTTACTATTTACTGCCCTGTATATGCCAGCTGCACTCATTTTGGAACCTGTGTCGACACTGTAGCGCCTGTGTCGAATTTCGTGCTCAGAGAAGTATCATTTGTACCGAAAATGGACTGTTCTGGACCGGCCAGTTTTTACAACTTTGTTAAAAAAGAGAGGGAAAGCCCGGAGTTAGCCAGTCGATCCGAGTGGTTACGCTTTCACCAGCGTTGTTGAGAGAAATATTTCTTGTTGTATGCTTCACACTAATTATTGGTTCAGTGCTCTTCATCATTTGCCGTTCACGGAACACAACGGCCAGTCGAATTCTGGCCATAGATCAGCGGAATGACTGCTTTACAAATCTTGTCGCCCTGGCTGGAGCCTTCATTGGTCATCGGTATTGGAAGTATGCGGATCCCATTGGAGCTGCAATTGTCAGGTGAACCACTTCCTCTCACCCCTCATTTATTTTCAACTACCGCCCTTTTCCACTAACTCACCATCGCTATTTGACGTTCTTGTGTTACATCAGTACTGATGTAGTGGTACTGTTTTAGAGACACCCTAATCTTTCCATGATTTTCTCGATTGCTATTCTGAAAACGGGTTACTTCCTATCTTCTCAGATAAATTAGGACGATGACTACGTATTCACATTGCAGCAGTTCCATTGAGCAGTTGGCAACAAAAAGCCGTTTATGAACTTCTAGAACGACTTTACAGTTTCCTTTGAACAATAGAGCACTTTTCAGCAGTTTAATCATTGTTACATGGCTGATGACGGTGAAAGAACAAGTGCCTCTGTTGATCGGAAAGTCGGCTAGTCCTCAGCTTATCAACCGAATCATAAATGTAAGTATCATTTCTACTGGACACATACACTAAAAAATCGGCTTTTGCTATCTGATCCGCCAATCTTTATTGTACTCACCTGGTAACGGTCAAAGTTCATTTGAGGTTGCCATTAGTCATGACGAGAGAATCAAGTACCTCGATACCGTATACGTCTACCATTTCGGAGCCAATTTTCTTGTCGAGTTGCATGTGGTAGGTAGATTCCTCTTTGCAATCGCTGCAGATCGTAAGAATGAAAAGTGTTTAGGTGATGGATCGTGAGATCAACTTATGTGAAGCACACGATGTGTCGGAGACGTTACAGGGTAAGCTCGAGCAGCTCTCTTTTGTCGAGAGAGCCTTTGTCCACTGCGATTACAAATTTGATGGCGATGAACACGTGTGACCCGAAATAGAACGGAGCTTCTCTGGGCTCTTTTCTTGTAAAAAGAATTAATAAAAATGTGACTTATCTGCGTTCTAATTTGCCACGCTCAGAGCCCTTCAGTGTCGTTTCGATGCAACCACTTTCTGTCAAGTTGTAACATTTTCATAGTATCATCGGAGAAGTAAGAGCAAAGCAGTGAAATAGAAGGAGTCGCGTAATTCTGTCCAAATGTGTCACTTTCGAACATCACCATGGTCAGTGGGTCTTTATTGATGGGAACTAATTTTTACTTATTCCTTCACCCTTTAACGTGCATCGCTCAGTGGAAAAGAAAAGTGAAAGCTATATTGCCTATTGTGTTGAGGATTGGTTCTCTATTGCAGCTATTAAGGCCACTGATTTGACGGTGGTTAACCTCATAGAGAAATGTAACTTTTGCACTGCAGAGCAGTCTGCTTAAAAACACCCGGAATTACGTGTGAGAAGCCTAGAGACATTGGTTCCTTCCCATCATCGTCATAATCAGCGTGCGGAGCCAGCTTGAGCAAGAGTTTCTATGGCATCGCGACGTCGGAATCCTATCAGAGAATATTGTGGCCTTTACAAATCACCACATACGCTCGCAAGCGAGTATTCAGAGAAGTGTTAAAGCCTTGCGAACGGGTTTTGCTACCAAACGAACTTAATTCTCGTCAACTCTGGTACATTTCATACACGATGTAATACAATACAATACCGACGTTTATCCAGACCACCTTGGTCGCCCCCATGTTCCAGTTCAGGTGAGTTGACTGCGAAAGAGGAGCAAAATTGTCTGCCATCACGAGAGCGCGCGTTGTCACACTGAACGTCGTGTCGTCGAATGGATATGAGCTGCTTCCTGAACCTTCATATTCTTCCGCAGATGCATCAAAAGGCTACGACATGTACCATTCGTTAAAAGATTGACAGGCAAACAGAACCAATAGCGAAATGGAAGAATTGTTGGCGACGTCAAAGCTCGAATTGCTTCCATGAACAAAAAATTAGAAAATTATTCGTTTATGAACTCGAACACGACATTTGTTTCTTCGTTTTTCTACTGTCGCATTGTTTTTCGAAAACGCATCCTCCATCATCGAGGCTATTATTTCAGTAGCTTAGTTTATACTACGGCGAGGGATCATCGTCATAGTACACAGGGGCAATCTTACAGAAATGTTTTGAATTCTCCTGAGCAACATGAAACGCCATTTGTACCATGAGGGGTGCTGATGCAGGGGTCATCACGAATGGCGGAGACCCCACCAACAGTAAGCAGGCAGTTGGAAAATAATCTGTGGTTTGTAAGGCAACTCTCCAACACTCAGCACAAGTCAACTCCCTTACGTCTACGGTGGGTTTCAGGGCATTATGGTCGATGCTGCCAACTTGAATGACCATAACATTCATCGCACATTTCAGAATATAACGTTCGACAATGAACTCTCCCTTGTTAAGGGAATGGGAAAAAGATTATTTATTCATGGCATTTGAACATTTTACTGGAAACTTGAGACAATGCTCCAAATTTTTTCGCATTTCTTCGACCAGCGTTCGCCAGATCCAGTTCACTCAGCAAAATATAATACGTCAGCAATCTGCTGGATGAAGTAAACCTAGTGGATGGTGATTCTCTGGAGAGCATCCAGAAAAACTTTCGATGAATAATCGCTGATACCTTCTAAAAATTTGCTGGAATTGGCCTCCGTACAGGGTGGCATGCAATAAACCGCAACAAATCTAACCATTATCCCTGAAAGTAAAAAACTTGTCATTGTGGTGGTAGTAAATTATGCGTTCGTCGAATGACACGAATAAGTTCTCGTGTGCCGGTTACCTCAATTCCACTCTGCCGTCAAGGTCTCAGGAGAGTAGTCAATGATGACCACAGAGCCGAAAATAAAGGAAACTTCAGGTTTTCAGCAGATTATGAATTCATTACGTCATTATGGTATTACGTCATTGGATAATTTTTGTTGTGTGAAATAGAACTCGTTTTTCTTATGATCTGCTCCGGCGGATACAGCTTTCCATAATAATCTGTCATGATTTCTATGTAATGAAGCTGAAGCAAGGATCTTTCAGTGCCAACTCAAAAGCCTTTAGGCACTTATGTACATACAAGGAAGTGTCAGTGCTGTTGCATCTGCAGAGAAAAGCTGGAGGTTGTGCTGTCGTCACATAAATTGAGCATAGTACATAGAATTGCAATAACCTGACGTGCTCACTCCCTCGCTTTTCTGAATGCGTTTTCGAAGTTCAGAGATGTTCTTGACCTTGCCGTGACTAATTTCACGATGGCTCATATTACTATAAGAATTTTTACTTTTTGCGATCCAACCCTTTCCCTCCTTCCCCTTGCAATCGTCTTGCTTTGAATGACAATTTTTAGAAAAATCGGTCCACTCTTGCCGTTATTTTGCAGTATAGTGACCACTCTACACGGAACTTCCAAATATGACCTAGAGTCTTACCTGATAATGCTTGCCAGCGAAGAACGCAGTTAGGAATGCACCGATTGTTCAAGTACGTATTCGTTCCCTCATGGCACTCTAAATTACGTCCAACTTTTGCGATTGTATGCTGGCGATGAGTCTACTAAAAAAAGAAGTTCATTGGTTTTCTTGATGCCGTCATCCAAGCGGACGTCTGAATTAAATTAAACACACTAGCCATTGTTTTTCAGTCACCCTACATGTCAGGGCATTTCTATTTTTCCTGAGTTTGTACCTACGGCCATGTCGTAATCATGCGTATCTAATGCCGCTATGGTGGTGCACACTCCTGTGGGACTTGAGCCCTGTGAAAACTACTCATTAAAGCCAATTAGGTCTCTGCTCATTGTTACCATTCCACTCTTCCACTGTGAAAGCGTCTTTCTCCTTTTCCTCTGAAGCCACTGTCTACGATTGCGAATCGTGCGACTGTGCGGTATTAACGCTGGGAAGAAGAGGAAGTTTACGACTGCGATCCTTTAGTTGCTTTAGATTGCTCGGAATAGCGATGTAAGTTTTTCGCACTTTTCGCATAGGCCTACGTCTTGCCTATGGTGAGGAAGTGACATATTTCAATCTTCCAGGCTACTGTCTATTCGAAAAATTCTCTGATCCCTGAACTGCAGGGTCGATTCAGAAGTTTCTTCTTCTTGAAGCACGGATTTCATGTCGTTACTAAAATGGGAGGGTCCAAAACCAGTAAAAAGTGATGATTATACTGCGAACAGCTCGAACAGCTCGTGGAATTCAACCTTTGCAAAACGATCTGACTGTCTGCGCGTGTCACACTTTCCCTAATCGTGAGCTTTGAAGATTGAGAATGCAGATAGCCCGTATTCTTGAAACAACTGTAATAACATTGGCTATTTTCCGATTTTGCAAGCTTTTAGATTTGCTTTAGAAATTTTTCCGAATAACTGAAAATTTCTCTAAAAACAGCCTGATCAAGCTCAGTCCTGTGAGGACGTGGTCTTTGTCCATGACTGCTCAATAAGAAACCCATTCTCGATACTAGTTGGAAATTTTGTGAAAGGTGAAGGCTAAAAGAACTCTCTACAATTGTACTTGGCAATTCAATTGTTTAGAAAATGAGCAAGAACTAGAAGTTTGTCGGATATCAAACCAGAGGACGTGAAGGAACTCAAGAATATGCGAAATATACTCTCCATCACTGTACAACCGCCCTGTCGGAAGCTGGGACCATTCCGTTCATTCACCTAGTTTGTAATACTCTCGATTGCGGTCAGCAGAGCGTTTTCCCTTTTGATGATGGTCGGCGCTGAATCGATGGGGGAGATCCTGACCCAAATTACGGTCGGATGTCGCGGACGAATGGCTATTCTTCGCAATCCACCTTGCCTCAGTGAGTTTTTCTACACGTTCTGGCTTTTTTCACCCTATTCAGTAGCGGCCGATTTTGATCGGAATAAGCTANTAAGCTACGTTGTACAGAATTATTACAAAATGTATTTCCTCTGTTCATGAGGTTCTCCTTATCGTGAGCGTATTCGCTGGATCATTACGGCTCAAGAACTTTTGATTCGGGCCTAATCCATATTTTGGTTCGACTGGTTTATTTGATTCCCTCGCATCATGTTCATTCTCTATTCTTTCAAAATTAGTTCTACCCATGGAAATTCAGCAGTACTAGATGGCTTATCGTAAGCCAGAGCGCGTCGTGTTAGCTTTTGAGTAATACAATTTTTCAAGTCAGAGAGGACCCCTCTGAAAGTCCGAGTTATGCGGCTATATCACACACAATTGCAAAGTGAAAGATACAGTGTCGGCAGAGAGTTTTACTTCTACGTTCGTTATGCTCTAGGTTGAATTCTAAGTTTTCGATGCGGGTGTTCAGCACCAAATTACATTAAATGGCACCTTTTTTTTGATAACCAACTCTTTACGATCCGCCACCACCTTCCCGAACGACTCCTGTCTTTTTTCTTAAATAAAACTTTCCATCACGATCTGATGGTCAATATCGCATTCGTGGGGTACACAGATTTTGTTAGCTAGTGCCAGGAAACGATGTAACGGATTTGCAGACGAGGGCGAGCCTTACGTTTTGGTTCATTTCGGGTTGTTTCAAAAGTAAATTTTAAAAATTCTTTGAACTTTAATCCATCCCATCTGGGAAATGCGCCCTAAGTTCGACTTCCAATCGAAATCCTAGTGGCGTATTGAATGCGTATGTGGCCTATTCAAAGACTTGCAGCGGCCAACCGATAAAAAAAATCATTGCTTTGATCCTCCCAGACTTGTCTGGTACCAATTAATGAACCCCCGGGGGAATGGAAGGCCTGGTTGGCTTAGGCGGATGTCGATCCGGGATTCGAACCTGTGACAATGGGTGTTGATAGTGTGTCATTTGCCGCTACACAACCTCCGCCCCGTTTCAAATTTGTAGCGCCGTAATTCCTGGCCACTGCACAGAGAGATAAAATTTTGCAGAGAATCCGACTTCTGAATTGAAGGAAGTATTATGCATACTCTTCCTAATGAAAATATTCATACCGATGTTCATGGTAGTGTTTTGGTCCTTTGCAGGCCTGTTCGTCAGAAATGACATGAATGGATGGAACGAAGACCTGCATGACCGCGGGCGCTAGAAACGTCTGTCACCTAAAGTTTAGGACGATGTTCTTGTCTTCGAAGATCTATTGACAACAATAATACAAGAATGGAGGGTAGGAGACTTGACGGTAGTATGTTTTGCGTGCCGGATTACTAGTCTACATGTGACAACGGCTCCTCTTTCCATCTCTCTCAGATAAGAGGAACCAATAGGTGTAGCAAAATTGATGCGAACAATGATTTGGTGGCTTTTCAACCAATCAGTATCGTCTACTTTTAGTGGCCATGAAAGAACGTCACTCCAATATTTCTGAAATCCATTCTTACTCTTTAGAGACGACCTGGTGACCGACTTGCCTTGATCATCAGCTGATTGCTGATATCCAAATGTTGGACTTTGAATTTTGTAAGAAAACGATCAAATCGGTCGAAGGCACAGTTCAAGTTAAAGACTGCTTTTGAGGTTTTTAGGATGAAACTGTGATCCCTATGGATAACCCAGGGGACGCTGTCCGGTCGATGAATTGCCAAGAATGGGCGTAATAGGGACAGTAAAACCGGCTTAGCCGACGTACAACTTAGATGGGAAAGCTCATAGGGAGTTGTAAAAGCTGTAGAGGTTGCACTATTCGCACCGGGACTCACACTTTGCTCGCAGGCCGCTTATTGAAGCCAGCTCCATGCCGCGGCGCGCACATGTGGACAGCTTGTCCAAATACCCCTTCCTCGCAATTTTTGCCGTCACATTTTCGTCCGATCCTTAGTTTTACCTTTTTTTGAAGCCTTAAATTCCACTGAATGCGCCGATTTTCTCGTTATTTTGGCCACTTTTGGCCACTTCTGGACTACACACACTGGCACTTTCATTGCTCGTCTAAAACTATATAGCCCAAGAATATCGTGAACTGTGCCTTAAAAAATGCAAGCTGGTGCTAATAACGGTAGTGCTGGCCTACAGCGTCCTTCTTTCTTTTCCCTGTCCTTTTTTATTTGTTCATGTCATAGCCAATCTTGCACCTGGTAACTTCCCGGAAAGAAAATTTCTGATCACTCCCAGGTCTCGATCTACAATAGAAGAACCTATCATAGTAGCAGCTTGGAAAGATGTAACTCAGTCGTTTTTACAAAAGTTTCGTGGCCAAAAGTCCAGTTCTAATGGGGCTACAGGGTAGTTTTTCTGAAAACCTGGTGAGAACAACGTAGACGCCCTCATAAAGTTTTCACCTGCACATGGCTTCCAGGCTCCCGCATGTGTCTGGGCCATTAATAGTTTTACAAACCTGAGTTCAACATTCACTGAAGACGGAGAAATCAGCCGGTGGAATTCGATCCACCTTCCCTGCCTTACATTTCTCGAAACACAGTCTTCCGCATTGGTATTCATAGTTGCGCCTGCTTGACCAATTTATTGCCGACTGTTTTTTTTTTCAGATAAAACAAGCTTAAGCTTCAAGCAGAACAAGACCCCCCCTCCACTTGCAAGCTGAGACTTGTGGTAAAAGTAATAGTTCGATTTCACGTTAACAATCGACCTCTGATCCTGAAATGAACCCCATATAGAATGTTAAAGGACAACCAACAACCTGCTCATTTCCCAAACCATCTTTTAGCCATCAGAGCACCCTTATAAAGGTAGCTTCTATTACTACGCATGGAAGGGGCTCTCGCTTTCACTACAGGATACGACTGTTCATGGTTCAACATCTGAAATCTTCCAATTCCAATGTCTCCTGGTTTCCGGTGCTGATTGAAAAATCATTTGTTTTGACTTGGTGTTCTTGTTAACTGCTCATATTTCACCGCAGTACGCAATGCAAAAGTCTCACAAGTTTGGCGATTTGTGAGCAAAACATCCGCTTTTACATGACTTGAACTCCTTCGTACTCTTGCTTTCCCAGCATCTTTATCCCTTACACTCATACCTACCGGGATCCCACTCATCCCCGCCTTATTCCTTATTCCAAAGGAAATGAATTATCTAGGTGCTATTAATTCTTTCTATGTTTAATATGATTCTTGAAGGTTCTGTGATCAATGGACACCGACTTGCGTAATCGTAATGGAACAGAAACGTTAAATCACGAAGCAACTAAGAAACATAGGCATGTCAAGGATCCTCGCAGTATGGTCTTTAAGACGAAAGAATTCAAGACGAGGGAGTCTCTTCTCAGGTGAGGTTTTTCTATCCAGAATCTATTCCGCATACGGTGGTAATATTCTGTAATGAATTACATAAATCCGTGCATAAAATCCATGTATAATTATTAAATCAACATGAATCTCAAATACACTGTAACATCAAAACATCTAACTCGTCACATCCCAATTGAACCATATCGTTCTTCGTGAAAAATTGTGTATCAGATTCCCATGGGATTAGAGAACCAGAATATCTTCCGCTATCGCCCTCCAAAAGGCTAGCTGACTCTCCCCCAGCTTCATAAAGCCAAATTTTTCATCCGTAAGATTCATCAGAGCATCACTGCTGATCAATGTCATGTAAGGTACTGGAAGACTTATAGTAATGTCAGTGAACACTATTTTGTCACTGAACTCTCAGGTTTACGTTTATCGACTAGGGAGGGTCTTTGCGACTGTCTGGAGAAAATCCAATGTTAAGACATGGGACATCCAGATTGCCATTTCTTACCCACACTACGAAAAAAACTCCAGAAAGCTCTGTGATTCTTTTGTAGTCAGAATATAGACATATTCGCTAAGATACTGGTAATACTTACTGTCATCTCTTCACCACGAGTTCTCAAATTCATATTAGTCAATCAACACCGAGAAACATCGTACTTATGAAATGGAACAATAATATGTTCTCACCCATGAACAAGGACATTCTCTTCCTTCATTGAAATCGTGGATCTTTGGGTCGAAAAACGGTCAGTTTTTACATTGTTGACCGAAGGACTCCCCCTACCAGCTTAATCCGTGGAACTATGTAGACAAAGAGGATGATAACAATGTAATGAAGAAGCCCAGGTCAAGTGGAAGATAGTAATTGGTGGTTTGCTGCTACCGTTAAGTTTCAGCTGACCAGTGCTGGCTATGTATGTACCTTAATCTTCGTCCAAGACGTAGGTACATCGCGTACTGCACTTGTCTGCATTAATGGTCTGGCGATTTGTCAAGTATACTACAAAAAAGAGGGCTCACTTTTCTTTTTCTCACTGAAGTGTTTCTCAATTAAGAGCAATCTTGCATCCTGACTCAGCTGAAGGGTTGCTCTGACTCACAACTAAGAGTTTTGAAAGTTATCAGGCACAACTCAATTTATATTTGAATTGACGATCAATCTCTAAAAATAGGCCTTCACCGCCAGAAGGAGCTTGAATTGATCTGAAATTGATGGAAGTTTTCTTCTAGCGTCCTTTTTCGTGAAACTGAAATGGGCGTGGTCTACAACATTTTTGCCGCCATCTTCGTACTGTTCTTCCTCAGAGCCCTCATCGATGATATCTTCACGCATGGCATGTAAGTGACATTTTGAATAGCTTATCCCATTTTGAAGATTTGAACAAAATATAAAAATCTGAGGGTTCCAAACAAGGCTGTTATTTCTTATCGAAGTTACCTTGCTGCAGGCCATTCCATCATTTCTGGTTGATCGCTTGGAACTTCAAGCACTTCTTACCAACGATGTTCGTTTGGTCTTTGATGTTTTTTTCTACCTTCGTGCCCTATGCAGCATTCAAAATTTGGGCTCACGCTCCTTCAAAAGCGGTCAACATGAAATCCGAGGTATTTCCTGAATTCTATTGGTTTATTGATAAAATATAACTGCATCAAAAGCATAGGCTTTTCGTGAAAGCAAGACAAAAAGAGTCATGTAGTACAACGCAGGTGAACTTCGCGATAAAAGTTGCTGTGTTCATCAACCACGTGCTATTCCTTCAATTTGAATTGCGAACTACCCTTCTACCTTTCGTCCCTCTGCTCCTCGTGGAAGGCACAGTTCATGATAAATTTGGGTAATCCAGATTATGACGAAAATGGAAGGTGAGATGGAAAATAGTGCGATGAAGGCGAAAAAAGGACGGAAAGAGACCAGAAAAATGAAGAAGAACGGGGCGTCTGGACGCTATACAGTGTGTGTCAGTGCGTAAGTGTGGGACCTGGTACGATTAGCTGATCAGGGTAGGCAAAATTCATTCAATCAGCTCGCCTTTTCTATCCTCTTGTTATGGAAAACTAAATATCGGATCGCAGCAGCAAAAAAAATAATAGAGAATAAAGGGTAAACAGAAAAACATTGCCTTATTTATCGGCGATCAGCTAATTGTGTGTGGGTCCTGGCGCGAATATTTGCAATCTGCATGGCATCTTTCATAGTCCAC